CATTGCCGAAGCACTTATTCAAGGTTGGAGCAAGCGTGCGAGGCACAAAAGCAAAGCAGCAGCCGAACAGAAGCAGAAGTCCCCCAGGGCAAGTGTAAATTTTTGAAGCCGTAGTTGCAAGAGTTTGGCCGTAAATAAGATCACCTTCCTCAAAGATAGTTGAAATATCGGTGGATAAAAACTATAAGAAATTGAACGCTTCAAATAATTTGAATGGCAAAATGATGTCTTTGGGTCATCAAAAAGTGTAATATATTTGGAATGAATATGACGCTGAAATGCATTTATTGCAAAAGAATAATTTTCAAAAAAAAAAATTTGTCAAATTAAATTTGGCACTGTAATATATGTATCGCAAAAGAATAATTTGAAATTAAAATATACAGTTAATTTAAGAATTCTAGTTGCTGTTATTCAGTATATTTGCGTCGTGCGACTTCATCAAAAAAAAAAAACACTGAACAATCCGAAAATAGACAGAATTTTACGCACAGATTGACGCGAAAAACAACTCCTATATGTGTACTTACGCCTTCAAAATAATTGATAAAATTTTGATAAAATTGATAAAATTCTGAGGTTTGATAAAAATTCTGAGGTTTGACAAAATTTTAGGAGCCAAATCTGGCCAAGGTGCGCCTTGTAATGGAGCAACTTTGGAGGCGAATAGAACGAATCTACGATGCAAAGCTGCAGGCCATAAAGGAGCGAGAAGAGAAGGAGGTGGAAAAAATGGTCGCGCGGCTTCGCCATGAATATAAAGAAAATCTCCTAATCAAGCAAAAACAAGTCCAACTTTAAGAGCTCTTTACCCATTCACTTATTCAGCCAGCACACTTTCCGTGGAGTTTTTGCAGATTTCTATTGCACGAGTCACTTTTAAATCAGACAAAGCTTGTGTTATGCATGCGTCCCAGTGCTATAAAGATGGAGAAGAGACTAAAATGAAATCTCTAAAAAAAAACAATCTATCACATCATTACATATCACGGGGTAGGGGAGAACTCGGGTCAGGAGACAGAGCATTTGCATATCACAGGAAACCGAGGAGCAACTGGATAAGACGAAGGGGTTTAGCCGGCAGCTTCGTTTCTTTGCTTTTTCTTTTGCAACAAATCAGAACAACATTACCACATAAAACAGTGTCTTTTTTTTCCACCAAGCAAAGAATAAGATAACCGAATCAAGTGACAATTTTACAGTGTTAATAAAACTGGGATTTGCAGTTCTTTGTCAACCTTGTCAAAAAATAACCCCAATGGTATTGTTTTTCTTATCAGTCTGTGCCCAAGTTTTCTGCATTTTGAGACTATGTTAAGAAAAAAGAAAAAAATGTGCAGTTTCAGTTTGATGAACTCGCTCAACGCAAGGATGATGAATATAGAAGCAAAGAAGATGCGCTGAGAGAGGATATTCGACTTAGTTTTGAGGTCAGCAAAACTTCATTGGCATCTTCATCAACAGCTGCCTTTAATCATTGTTTTTCTTGCCGTCGATTCAGAGACGTAGTGAATTTTTGTTTGAAATAAATGCCGTTTTTTGTAGAAAAAAAAGCTGGAATATGAACGGATGTGGCGAGAAATAGAAGTGGCACAGAAGGAAATTCAGTTCCGCCAGCAACTACTCGACGATGCTCAAGCGAATTTTTTATCGTAAAAAAACAGACTTTTTTATGTTATTCACGTTGCTTTGCTTCTGTTTTAGGCAGCATTGAAATTCTTTTATGTGTGCCTTCATGATCAAGAACTAGGCATCGCTTGATTAGCAAGTAGGAATCAGTTCCTTTTAAGGATTTAAGACTTTTCTGTACCGTTCTGGTATAAAAATGAATTTACTGTCTGGTTTATTTAAATCACCAGCGTTTCTGTGCTTTTGAGGAGTTTTGCATGTTCTGTTCCTTCTTGTTAAGCTATGATCGAATTTAGAGAAGTACTGGAGATTTTGAATGCAGGAAGAAAGAAAATGAGCTGCATCGAATCGATCAAGAAAGGCGTACGGTGGAAAGGTTCAAGGAAACTCTGGTATCTCGGGAAAGGGCTGTGGAGAAAAAGCTGCAAGAAGAGCTCAAAAGAGTGCGCGAACAACACAGAGTGCATATGGCGCAGATGGTAATCAGTGTTGAAGAGGCTGGCATAGTGCCCGTCCTGCTCATGATATTTTTAGAACATTATTCGTTCAACTGAATTTTCCTCTTTTTTTGTAGAACAGGCTTTTCTACTGGCTTTATTACAAAACAAAAAGCGGCTTCTTTTTAGCTCTTGTTGACCTGATTTTTGTCCAGAGCTGCTGAAATCTAGTGAATAGGCCTGTTTCGAATGCGTTAAATGTACATCTCTGTTTTCCTAGGTTTCTGAGTGGAAC